ATTAGAATTAAGATACAAATTATACCAAATAAAATTAGTTTCAAAACGATATTTTTTTCAAGGAAAATTTATGTATTATATTTTTGTTTGTGTTTGTTCGCTACTCAACTGTGGGTTTCGTTTCGTGGAAATTGAGGGTTTATTTAATGCTTCACTATAATTGTAATCACAAACCTCTGTCATATATTTGCTAATTTTTTAATATGTCATTATTTTAAAGATTATGTTTTTAGCATCTGATTTTTCCTCAGTGCTGATGTGCTTTCATTTTCTCTAGCAAATGTTTAATATGCAACCCTGGCAGAAAAATGTACATTTAGATTTAAAAGAAAATATCTTAAAATTAAAAAGGAAATACAAGTTTGATCCTACTAATGTCGTATTGTATGGTCGTAAAAAATATAGCCTAGTAGTCAGCAAGTATCAGTGTTTATTGTGTTTGAAATAAGAACATTAAAAAAAATTATATTAAAATAAAAAATATTGTTATAGCAACACTCGTGACTGCTTTGGGAAATAATGCTTGTCGAAGAACGTGAAGGAACGTGTAAGGCACATCTGTTATCCACAACAAGTCAAGATTTTAATCAAGACAAAAATCACATAATCTGACATAGTGACTTTCAAAACCGACAATAAAAATCGAGTGATTTGAACGGGCTTAACATGCTGCCACATTGACTTTCGCTTTCATTGGAATGTTTAATTGTACGTAAATTGAGAACATTAGTTTTACAAGACACATTTTTTGCCAATTTGTCTTAATACAAGGTTTCAGAAGCTAAAAAGCCCATGTTTTTCATTGTCTGATTCTCCTTTTTTTATTGATTATAAATTTCGCACAGATCTGAAGGTCAGTCAAACACATTCACGTCCACAAAACCACATTGTTGTTGCAAATGCAGAATAAGACTTGATCTAATAACCACAGATTTCCCATGAAAGATGGTACCTTTCTACACATACAGTATGACAGTCACCCATGCGCTTTGCTCTGTTGCATCTCACTCCATGACAGAAGTTTATAGATACATATAGTTTATGAAAGTCTGCATGGTCCCATTTGTCTTTGAGACTGACAACTCAATGCCCATTTTTCCTATAAACAAGTTGAAATGTCAACCAGCATATATTTGCATCGTGTTTGTGACTCTCTGAGAGGAGTTCTGGCCTGGAGATCCCAACACAATCACTTCACAAAATTGATACATAGCTTTCTTCCAGAGCAAAACGTGTCATTTCTTGATGCAGCAGCAGGACTATACTCAGTGACAGTGGCTTTCTGAATTATTCTTAAGCTCAAGTGTCTTTAACTCCACAGCCCCATCTGAGAACTCAAATGTTGAGCACATAAAGCTGACTTTCCTTGTCTTGACCCGAGCCGACTGAGATCACAATAACAGTTGGGCAAAGAACGGAATTCTTTGCGATATTTGTCTTGCGAATGCAGATTTTTGATGACTTGTTTAAAAATTCTCTCATGACAACTGTCAAATAAAGAACCAGATCCAGCTTTACCAGATCCAGCTTTACTTTACTTTTACAAAAAATATAAACTCCATAAGGTAGGGCTGCCAAAGAAATTATTTTAATTTCCAATATTTGTTGAATTTATATAAAAAAAGACACAACTGAATGCAAAACCTGCATTCTGGTTTTTACTATGTGTTCACACAGAAAGAGGTGAGTCAAAGTAGCCGCAAGTCATTTATTTTCAATGGGAGATGGCGGCCATAAAAGTTGCGGGTGGTGTGGAGAGTTGAAATCAAGTCAACTTTATGGTAACGAGCTATGACTCGATTCGGTGGCAAGCAATTGGAATGTAGAAGTCCACCGCTTGAGAGGATTCCAGAGAACACAGTCCTGTGAACTTTGCTTACCACCACAGTTGTTCCCAAGGATTTGATTATCGCGGTTGCCGGATTTCCATGTATAAAAATAAAAAGTAACTGGCGAGAAACTGATGTGCATTAATGTTATATTTGTTTTGGGGGTTTTTTAAAGCGGGAAACTCATGCTAACTATAACACCAGTAGACAACAGTATTGCTGCTTCGGAATATTTCAGACAAATTGACACATATTGGATAAGTGGAGCAAAGCCACACCACATGCAACAATTTGATCTTCTGTAGGTAAATGAATTTGATAAAAGGTGTGCAACATTTTCAATCTGGAAAGAACATTTTTTATGCAGGAATATGAGTGATTTGTTGATATTCTGCAACGGCCCCTTAATATACAACATCAATTCAGCAATTTAGCAAATTTTGACGCTCTTCGGTATGAATGCACAGTTAGACACGACCATGATGTAATCAATGTGGTTTGTTTTTGTTAACTTATTGTATGCTGCGTTGCTGACAACCCAGAATTTGGGGTTTTCCTACTACCTACTTGGAAATAACATCTAGAACACTAAGAAAATCTCTCTAGAAAATCTGAAATGTATACTAGGGGCTGATCAAAGAGTCCAGAATTCTGCGAGATGAGTCATTTGACATCATTTCAACTCACAGATGACGTATATATATATTAATATTTGTTTTAAATAGTCTTTACATATATCTTACATATGTGTTTGTAGTCTTTTAAAGTAAGTTTTATAAGTCCTGTGTTGTTTTGTGAACCCATATTAATGTTCAGCACTTTGGTCTGCTCTTTGGTGGTTGTTAAGTGCTTTATAAGTAAAGTCTGAATGAATGATGATGGCTAATTCTGCTTCAGCAAGATTTTTCCTCTAACATTAAGTGTTGCCTTGATGAATATAAATCGAATGTTGCTTATATTTAAGAAATAAATTCATATAGACAGTCCTACTAGGAGGTAGATGCCTAAACTCTGGAACAGATCGGCAGAAACACTCAGTTTAAATGTAGACTACAGACACATCACTTTGCACTAGAATATAAAACTCAAAAGAACAACATTTCCTGTTATTTTACAGACCTATTTCTCAATACATTGTTTCTTACACAGTATGTCATTTCAAACTACTAAAATGCCAATCTCTGTTAAAACAAAATGCTTCACTTCTCTTGGGGATTTTTCCAAATTCACTTAAAACTGCAGTTATATAACCCCTCTTGAAGAAAAGCAACCTAGATAAACCCCTATTGAGCAATTACAGGCCGATATCAAATCTCCCTTTTATTAGCAAAATCATTGAAAATTTTGTTTTCAACCAGGTTAACAAGTTCTTAAGCTTCAAGGGGTGTTTAGACAATTTTTTATTCAGGTTTCAGACCCCATCACAGTACAGAGAGCGCTCTTATAAAGATAATCAATGATATCCGTCAAAATACAGATTCAGGCAAACTAACAGTGCTGGTACTGCTCGATCTCGGTGCTGCATTTGACACTGTTGTTCACAGCATACTTCTGGATAGAATGGAAAACTGGGTTGGGCTGTCTGGGATGGTCCTCAAATGGTTCAGATCTTACCTTGAAGGGAGAGGTTACTATGTCAGTTTAGGTGGCCATAGGTCAAGTTGGACACCCATGACATGTAGAGTCCCACAAGGCACCTCTCTTGTTCAACCCTTATATGCTCCCTCCTAGCCAAATAATGAGAAAGAACCAAATCTCCTACCACAGCTATGCTGATGACACTCAGATCTACTTAACCTTACTGCCTATTGACTACAGCCCCATTGACCCACTCTGCCAGTGCATTGATGAAATTAACAGTAGGATGTGCCAAAACTTTCTTCAGTTAAACAAAGAGAAAACTGAAGTCATTGCGTTTGAGAACTGAGATGAGGTTCTCAAGGTGATAGTTAATAAGGTCAATAATCTTGGTGTGACTCTGGATCTGAGTTTCAATAGTCATGTCAAAGCAGTTAGTAAATCAGCATACTATCATTTCAAAAACATTGCAATAATCAGATGAATGGTTTCCAGTGAGGACTAAGAGAAATTTTTTCATGCTCTTATCAGCAGCAGGGTGGATTACTGTAACGGCCTCCTCACAGGCCTTCCTAAAAAGACAATCAGACAGTTACAGCTTATCCAGAATGCTGCAGCAAGATTCTGACCAAAACAAGGAAATCAGAGCACATCATGCCTATCCTCAAGTCTTTACAATGGCTCCCAGTTGCATTCAGAACAGATTTTAAAGTATTATTACTGGTCTATAAATCACTAAATGGCCTAGAGCTCAATACGTTACAGATATGCTGACCGATTACAAACCCAACAGATCACTGTAGAATCATATAAACTAGAAATTCCAAGAGTTTGTTCAAATCAGGGTGAATCTGCTTTCAGCTACTGTGCCCCTCACTGCTGGAATCAGCTTCCAGAAATGATAGGATGTGCTCCAACATTAGGCACATTCATATCAAGACTGAAACACATCTGTTTAGCTGTGCCTTTACTGAATGAGCACTGTGCTACGTCCCACAGATCGCACAATTATGACTTTCTTTTCTTTTTCATTATTTTATAACCTGTTTTAACACATTTTTATCTGTTTTATCTGTTTTTTTTTACATAAATTTTATTGTTTGTTTTTGTTTTCTTAAATTCTTTTATTCCTATTTATGTAAAGCACTTTGAATTTCCATTGTGTATGAAATGTGCTATATACATAAACTTGCCTTGCCTAAACTGTAGAGTTGAATTTTCAACATCAAAACTCAGCAGAGCAGAGATCAAGCAATTCACCAACTTAAATAAACTGTTAATTAACAGACTTTTTTACAGTGTAGCATTGTTATGCCACTGCAGTCTTTCTTTTTCCACTTTCTGGAAACTATAATAATCCACCTTGAGCATGAAAATGACTTAATTTAGCTTCTATGAACAACTTGTTCCATGCCATGAGGAGAAAAGACAAGAAATAGCAGCATGGGTTCACAGCAGGTGATACGAGGACGAAAGCAATAACCGAGCAGCTCTGTATGTGTCTGTGTGCTCTCCGTCACACACACACACACACACCATGCGACGCCCCACCGGTCTGACAGCAGCAGGAGATCACAGTGAAAGCGCACTTACTCTGGCGAGGAGGCTGACAGGGTCGAGGCCGGACGGCAGACGGGACAGATCACAGTTTTCCTCTGCTAGATAAACCTGCAGCGTCGTGCAGAGATGCTTCAGGCCTTCCTTCTTCTCCTCACTCATGTCTGCGAGATCTAGACACACAGAATATAATGCTTTCAACAACTTACTTGTAAATAAAGTAATAAATATATCTCAAATTATCATTTGCATCATGGTACCACCTAATTTACAGCCCATGTACAGTATCTGTGTGGTACAGTACTTCAGATCATATAGAATGATATACAGTACTGCGCAAAAGTCTCAGGTCCCAGTTACATTTGTTGTTTTAGTGAGGATTTAATGACATTATAAATTACATTTCATTCTCTTTTATAAAATACCACCAGATAATACAGGTTCTAGTTGGATTTTTGGGGTCAAATTGTTTAAGACATATTAAAGAAAGAGATAGAGAAAGATGAAACAATGAATGAAATGAATCCAGACCTAAATAGTGTATATACAGTATGTACAGTAGGTGAGAGTTCAAAGTGGCTATTACCGCCGCAGCATATACCGCCGCCATTTGAAATAGGTGCCGCTCTGTTTTTAGTGTATGACCGTAGTTTGTGAATAAGCCACCAGGGGGCACAAAGGGACAGGATGCGAACGGACAGAAATAGCCTATACAGCAGCTTTAAATATGCTACTGTGCTTGTAAATGAGATTAAACAATAAGTCAACGCATTATAATTCCTTCATTATTCATTTAAAATTTGTTAACACGCTTTATTGTAAACTTTAAGTGCAAAGAGGATTCGTTTTAGAAAATAGAATTGAAGAAATAAAAGACTATTAAAATGAAAGCACAAACATTCAGTACAAATAAGTAGTCTTAAATAAATAAATAAATAAGTAAATAAATAAGTAAATAAATAAGTAAATAAATAAGTAAATAAATAAGTAAATAAATAAATAAATAAATAAATAAATAAAAAATAAAGCAGCCTAAATATAGAAAGATGTTCAGTGTTTGCTATTTTGATAGGACTAAGACAAGACATTTTCATTTATGTTTTTATTTCTGTTTTTATTTCCATTTTCGTTGTTGATTATATTTTACTATGCAATATTATAAGCAGTTTGAGATTCATCAGGAGACAAAAAGAGAGATCCAATAGAACATGCTAAATCTAAAGAAAAACTCGATGCTTGATATTAAATAGCACATCATTTTAAAAAAGACTCAAAAAGAGGTCACATTTAACGCACTTCTGATGCTAGTCTTTTGGTTCCAAAAGCAATTTTGTTCTGAATATGGAGTACATATTTCCTATATTTTCTGTTTGTATATTAAAGGTTTAGTTCACCCAAAAGTAATGACTCTGCACTCACTCCATACCTTTTAGATCATGTGTCTCAAACTCAATTCCTGGAGGGCAGCAGCTCTGCACAGTTTTGTTCCAACCCTAATAAAACACTGTTAATACATATAATCAAGTTGTTCAAAAGAGTTGAAGAGTTGAGCGTTTGATTGGGTGGGAGCAAAACTGTGCAGAGCTGCAGCCCTCCAGGAATTGAGTTTGAGACCCATGCTTTAGACAGATAGATTTGTGCAAAAGTCTTGGTCTAAGACTTTTACACAATACTTTAAATCTAAAACATTAGAATGAATAACTCAATATTTCTGAATGATAATATTCAGACCATTGTACTAATATAGTGGTCCACATGCCTATAACAAAGTACTGACACACTAAAAAAATGTATATTTTAGCATTTTAAATGACAAAAGAAAAAACTAAATGACAACTAGAATCTGAATTTATTCACTTTAAGAAATAAAGAAATGTATGACAATCTAGTTTAAAAAACAGATCCTTAATTTTATTATCTAGTTATAAGAATAATAACATAATAGAAATAAAGGATCTGTTTCCTTAAACTAGATCGTCATGCATTTCTTTATTTCAACACACCATATGTACAGTTAAATCCTATATTTTACATTTGCAGTTAATCTAGATTGATTGCAATTAATGTTAACAAATTAATTTAATGTGTTGAGATGATTGTGTTTAAATCAATCGACATCCCTAAAATTGACAGAAAGACAGACAGACAGACAGACAGACAGACAGTGGCTGACATAAACATCTAAAAATGTTTAGATTCACGCATTTAAGTTGATCAGTAAAAACATTTGCGTGATTTGTGTACTCTATAAACAATTTATTTATGTACAGAAGCATATGTTCAGAAACACGTTGTAACCTTGCTAAATGCAAAAAAAATACATCACACAAACAAATTAACAAACTTAATAAGCTGCTACATGTCTGATAAAATTATATTATTATGGTAATTGTTAAAAATTATGGTATTAGCATGGTACCTACAAACCAAATTACTACAATGCTAAATGTTCAAATAGCATGATGGTACTCTAAAATAATTGCAAAAGAAAGTAAACTTCTATTTATTCCCCATCAAATTATTTTGCTTTCACCAATTAAATGTCTGTATTTTCAAGCTAATTTCCATGAAAATGTATCATCCTTGCAACGGTTCTTAAATCACACTGAGTGCAATAATCAATTATGTAGGAAAAACAGGAAATTTAGTAGATTTAATTAACCTGAAAAAGTTCACATTAGGGTTGGGCCGATAGAAGATGCCATCGCCCATCGGCGATGGCCAATAGACAACATGATGCTGAGCCAGCATCGCCAATCCTCCGCCCCGCCCCCTTCACAAACCCGCTCGCGAAAAACACACACTTAGGTCCAGTTTACACTAATATATCTCAGTGTTAAAATGGCATTTTAGAACGAAAATGATCCACATCCACACTGTTTTACCTAGCATTTCTGAACAGCCCTCCGTCCGCTAAAAACACACATCTTAAGACCACACACACACACACACACACACACACACACACACACACACACACACAACCATGCACAAACACACACAGCCACGCACACTGTCATGCACCTGTCTGAGCTCCAGTGAGCAGTGCACGTCGGACAGCTTATCAAGGATGTACCGCTGGAATGCATCATCCAATACATTTTAAACGTGATATTTAATGAATCTTGTCTCTATCTAACCACTCTTCAGTCTTTTGAATCTATCAAGTAACTTGTCACAGCATCAGTACACTGCTTCAGTCTTTTACTTTCACACTTGTACTTAGTAATTTTAGTGAACACCTTAGATACTGTTGGTTGTGCACCTTTTTTAATGACCAGCCTCCTGCAGAAAAAGTAATTGACAGGTGGTAATTTTTGTGCAACTTATCTTTATTTGTTTATGATTTAGTTATGGGTAATACAAAGACCATTCGGGAAAGGTAGTTAAAATGGTAGGCTATAAATAATTATTTTGTTATAAATTAATTAATTATTCATTAATAATTAATTCACCTCCGCCTATGATGACGATGTCATCATCCATCGCAATGTTTTACATTAGACATCGTACGATGCCAAATTGGTCGACATCGCCCAACCCAAGTTCACATACTGTTACTGTTGACAGTAACAAATAAAACAATGTGTAGATTTAAAATCAACCAAAACAAGCTGCAAAAAAGACTAATGATGATCAAAGAGTATGATGCACAAAATAATTAAAAACATAAATGAGAATAAAGTCGGGATAAAAAGTCAAAAAATAGTGAATAGTATTTGCTATTCAAAGTTTCCTATTTAAAGGGACAGTTCACCTAAAATTAAAAATTCTGTCAACATTTACATTGTTTCAAACTTTCATGAGAGTCATTCTTCAGTTGAACACAAAGGAAGATATTTTGAAACATTAACCGTAACAATTGATTTCAAGTGTATCATTTTTCTACTATGGGTGTCAATGGTTTCCGGTTTTCAGCTTTCTTCAGAATATTTCCTTGTGTTCAACAAAAGAAACAAACTCACAAAGATTGAACATTATTATTCACATTATTATGGTTGGGTCCAGGGGTATGATACCCACTTTGAGTGCAAAATCCTTTGCTTCAAATCCCGGACGAGCCCCCGGTTTTGTTACAGTTGGCGCACAACTACAACAAAAGAAGGCGGACACAATGAAAATTAGACTCCAATGTAAATCTATTATAAGTCTTGAAAAGGGGAAGATAAAATAAATTGATAAAAACAATCATAACATAGATGTTTTATCAACGGATACCGGGAATAAAAGGAACGAGAGATCAGTGAGAGAGATGTGGTGATAAATAATTTCGGAGATTTTCTAAATGTGTCGCTATTCTTCCTTGAATCAAGGTTGAAACCACTTGAGGAAGGGTAAATTTTCATTTTGGGTGAACTAACCCTTTTATGGTCCTACCTGCAAAATGGCTGTCAGATATGTGTATTTAGACTGTAGCTTTAGAGTGTGTATATGGACGTACAGCTGTGTGATTTATGTCAGCTTTGCCAAACATATGGGCTTTTCCATTAACCCTGGAGCTCTACATTTCCTCCAAACGCACCATCAATGAACTTCAGTGTTTGCTGCTGCGGCGGCAGATAGAAAGAGCGCTTGACCTGTGGCTACAGCTCACGGCTCATATCTCTCGCTCACACACACACACACCATCATACACACACACACAAACACCACATGCAGCAGTAAAACTCTCCAGGTTCAGCGCATAAATTCGGTATGTCTACTCCACAGTCTTTTATCATCTCCTTGAAAATTCGATCTGCAGAAAACTGACCCAAATAACAGTGTTCATTCTTTGGACAATGAATCTGTGTTTATTATTATTGTTATTTTTAGTACAGATGGGTTTTTGATAAAAGCTAACAAATCGCAGCCAGTAAATGAGGTTTGAAAACTGTTTTCAAAAGAAAATAACAGAGACGGCAGACAGATCGCCACGTTTCCCACTTCTCAGGAGCATGAGAGATTGAACGTGTGCAGAATTATAAGCCTGAAGACAAGTGTTTGTCTTCTTAAAGGGACAGAGTTCATCTAAAATTAAGACTTTGTGACCTTTTACACATCCCTCAGGTTATTTCCAAGCCCTCAAACAAATCAACATGATATTTTACAAACTTAAATTGAATGCTGCTTTCAGTTTATGGCAATACATGTCATGTAAAATGGCATATAAACTCACATTATTAGCATTTAA